TATGTAGCCCAGGCTGGCCTCAAACTCACTGCGATCCTCCTGCCTCAGCCTCCCAAGTGCTGGGATTATAGGCATGTACCACCACACCTGGCTACAACAGGTCCTTAGTAAGACAGCTCCTTCTTCTACAGTCCTGACTGTGTTTAGAAGTTCTTGTTATTGAGGGAAATGCAGTAAAGAAAGAACTAAGTACTTGAGAAACCTCAACAATTAGTCCAGTTTGGGGCTGAACTTAGAGACTAGTGTTTCAGTTTGGCCCTGGCTTCACCTTGAAGCAAGAACTTGAATTAATGCCTTGTATTGCGTTGTGTGTGTCCACACACACATTGGGGAAATTACTCACTTTTTTTTTTTGTATTAGAACCTTGGGGGGATTATTGATATTCCCAAACCAATCACTACTTCCCAATTAAGTGGATTATTCAAATAAAACCAAGACTTATCCCTGATGTCACAGCTGCCCGAAAATCACCGTCACTCTACACCAAGTTGCCCTCTTTCCCCGTCGTGCTTCCAAAGGCTTTCCAGAACACTGTGTGAATGAGAAAGGACGCAGAGAAGTCGTGTGGCTTGACCAGTGCTGTTCGTACAGTCACTGAGTGCACAGGACACCTAGGTCAACGCAGACCACGCACAATGAAGGTGGTCCCAGGACACTGCATCACCTGGAGACGTGAGAGACATCTTGGTTTGTTTATGCTCCATGATGCTCCCACATCGTAAGGGATGCATGACTACAGCAGCTGGTTTGTCTCTAACTGTTGTAGCCATCCTGAATGTTGTGCATAGCCAAAAAAAAAAAAAGAAAGCAATGTTATGCTAAACCTGCTGAAAGTGCCTCTTATACTGAAGGATTATAATGTCACCTTTTAGGCAGAGGCAGAAAAAAAATCATCGTCAGTTCTTTCGCTTGCTCTATGAAGCGATTTTTCATCATGTAATTCATCACATTAGAAGCATCCACAGAAAAGGGTCCGTAACATAACACCCACCTCATCCTTGACCCTTTCCAGTCCACTACAAAACTTGTTCCACCCACCTTCCTGGGATGTGGTCGAGTGAAAGAGAAGATTACAGGAAGGCCTGGTCAGCATAGGAAATGTTCACGGGATGGTACGCCACCGGCCAAGCATGCCAGAGGGAGGGCGGTGGGCCAGATCCCCACCACTACACCAAATCTCCCCAGGGAGACTCAAATTGGGTAGACAGGTGACAGAGAAGAATGAGAAAGAATCAGAGTGTAACAGCTCTGAGCAGAGGCTGGTGACGAACTGGAGCTATGTAAACTTGTTCCCTGCGGGAGAAGGAAACCACAGCTGAGAAGACATACTGGGAAAAGACGGGGTAAGCACAGACCTGGCCTGAGTCTGAGGCAGAAGTGTCCGCCCCGACTGCACTGCGCTGAAGGAGGCAACTTCTGGCCTCGTCCCTTAGTTCCTCACACTGACCGAAGAGGGCTGATGCTGATGTGAACAGTGGCCGCATCCACCGCGAAGAGCTGAGGGGCTGAGTGGGCAGGGGTGGGAAGGAAGGGTCAGCGAAGAAATCTAGAGGGTGCTTCTGGGAGGAAGTGTAAAAGAGAAAACTTCTTTGAAGGCGTGGTGAGGGCAGGCACCAGAATATAATATTTATGAATGTACATTCCCAATAGCCAACAAAAGGCGGGGTTTTCTCTAGTTAGCCAGCAGCTGTGTCCTACAGCAAGAAGCAGGTCACCTTGGGGGAAATGCAACTCAGCACTTAACTGTCTCACACCAGAATGCCACAAGCAGCAGAGATAATATGAGTGAGGTGAGGGGTTGGCAATCACAGAACTGGAAGAGGGAAATGACTACAGGGCAGCGGACAGCACACCTGCTGGGCATGCACAAGAAGTGGAGTTGTGCCTGGGCCTGGGGTTGTGGGGGCCTTCACATTGTGAGAGCCTGGCTATTGAAAGGCAGAAGAAAGCCTTACAGAGAGAATTTCAGCTGCTTTAAGGACTGGGGGGCTACTGATTAAGCGTTCTGATGAGAATAATCAGTCTTTGCTCCTCAGAGTCCCCACATCTCCATGCATATTGAGTCCAAAGTGACGAGCGGAACCACTCATTTCTGCTAACAGTGAAACCGAGAACAGCAGCACTCATAACCTAGAGATGGAGATTAGAGACCCTGCCCTCTCACCCAGGACTGGATCCCTTTTGACACCCAACCTGGCTTTGGCTTGTAACTCTTCCGTGGAGGGGCGTGCATGACTTTTAAAGGCCTATTCCACTGTACGTCTCTAATCATAGAAACAGTAACCTGAGCTGAAATCTCTTGTATTTCTCATAATATGTACTGGGGATTGAACCCAGGGCCTTCACACTGCACCATACCCCCAGCCCTGTTCCTTTTTTTTTTTTTTTTTTTGACACAAGGTCTCCCTATGTAGATCAGGCTGGCTTTGAACTCTCTGTAGCCAGGCTGGCCTGAAATTCACAGTGCTCCTTCTGCCTCAGCCTCCCACATGCTGGGATTACAGATGTGCACTACCATGCCCAGCTCCTATTCCTATTTTTTTTAACTTTGAGACAGGGTCTCGATAAATCACTAAATTGTCCTGACTGGCCTCAAGCTTCTAATCTTCCTGCCTCAGTCTCCCAGACTGCTGAGATTATAGGCATGTGCCACATCTGGCCTGAAAGCCTTCTTGCTGTAACTTCTGTACCTTTGTTCTATTTCTTAGATTTTCAGATACTTTAAAGTGCTGTTGCAGTCACCCTACATCCTATCTGTTCCTGCCTAAACCCTTTTCTTTCACCCAGCCCTTATGTCGACATAGTTATTCTCCTAATCTTTCTGTTCCGGACTCTAATATCCATCCATTCCGAAGAACTGGTCATAATACTCAGGATGTCAAGCTCATAAAGACTCCCCCACCCCACCCCATGCAGCATGCTTCCATTGACAAATTCACACTTTCAAAGACCATGTGGTAGTCATATCACATTATCAGCTCAAATTTGGCTGGTAAATAAAACCCCTATCTTATTTTCTACATGAAATCCTATCAAAGTAGGCTCTCTATGGCAACCTTCCACTAAATGAATTTAGCCCAGTGTGGTAATTATACCCACAATTCCAGAACTCTAGCAGACTGAAGCAGGAGGATCAGAAGTTCGAATCCAACCTGGGCAACCTAACAATTTAAGACCTTGTCTCAAAACAAAAATAAAATTTTAAAAGGGCAGGGAACATATATAGCTCAGTGCAAGAGTCCTAGCTTCAATACCCAGTACTGCAACAATGAAAAGATGAAGAAAAAGAAAAAGAAGAGGAAAAAGAGAAAGAGGGGGAAGAAATTAATCTTTTCTTATAAATGGATAATATCACATTTCTCTTTTTGGAAAAAAATACCTCCTTGGTTTCCCATTATTCCCAATAGAAGTCATTGTTCTAAAATAATATTAAATCTTAATTTTGTCATTTTTTTGATAAATGTGTTAAAAGCATCTTCCGCTCTTCACCCAGTTTGCTGACAAAAATGGCAAACAGAGCTAGATCCAAACCAGTGCCCCTATGGTAGATCAGCCAAGAACTTTCAGCTATCATAATACAGTCAGCTTGGCAGAAGTTTAGCTCACTCCCACAGATACATTCGGGTCCACCACTCGCGGCACTGCACAAAGCAAGTCGGGCTGGTCCTCACACCCTGAGCACATAGCTAGTTGTATTACAGATAGCTAAGTTAGGTGGAAATATTCTAGGCGGTCAGGCCAAGCCAAGCCCTCGAGGGAGTCAGTGCAGAAGGTGAGAATACATTACAACTGTGGCTGGAGGCCCATCCACTGAAAGCCAGGCCTCAAGACAAAGACAGAATGACCAGGCCTGCATGCCTCCCAGAGGGATAAGCAGTGCTCTATAAATGGTGCTACCTGGTCTGATAAAGTCTAGATAGCTATCAGTTACCCCAGTGGGTGACCAGGACTTCCCGATTCATCTCTTCCTAAAAAGGTCCTTGTTCTTTCCATGTACACTTGCATATACATGACCTGTTTCCCCATTGGATCAGTATTACCTCAGTGGCCATACTTATAATCTTCTTGGCTTGATGCCCATGTTGTACCCACCTTGTGATTTTTGTTTTGTTTTGATTTGGTCTTTTTGAGACAGGGTCTGGCTATGCAGTCAGGCTGGCCTTGAGCTCACTTGGTAGCCTAGGCTGATCTCGAACTCGCAATGATCCTCCTGCCTCAGCCTCCTGAATGCTGGGATTACAGGCATGTACCACGAAGCCCGGCCTTGTGATTTTGCTCTATAAACTTCCTTCGAGAAATGGGTTCATTGGCAACCTTCTTTTGAGCGCCCTCCTGTTTCTCTCTCTCTCTCAATAAAGTTCTCCTAGTCTTAACCTCCGTTGTTCAGTAGAGTTCATTCTTCAACTGTGGGAACACACACTCAGCACATCTGCCGTCTAGCAGGCTGGGAGTTACATTTACCTCCCCTCCATCAACTGTGCTGCAAATACTGAGCGGAGCACTGAGGAGCCTCCACGTTCCTGCACCCAACCATCCTAACCTCCCTCTCCATTACCTTCTGCCACCTGCAGCGCACGCCAAGCCAGTCAGACCCACGTGCTGCTGCCATCTGCTGGTACACATGCCAGGCCAGTCCATGCAGCCTCCTGGGCCACAAAACACCCTCTTCCTCCTAATCCACGCAGTGCCCGACCTATAAGGTGTCACTCAAGCCTCAAATCCAAGGTCTTGCCAACCTACTGGAATTGACACGGGTGGACTTCTCCATTGCCCAACACCAACCGCCTTAAGAATCGGCCCTGGGTGCTGCTGCTTCCTCCTGGTGCCTGCGTGAACAGCTTGTCTTCCTAACCAGGCTCCCAGCACAGAGCTCCGGCGCTCCCCTACCGCTCCTCCATTTCCCAAAGTGCTCGCCCAGGACAGAAGTACGATCTTTGTCAAGCATTTCACCGACTCGCTGTTATTGTCCCTCATCCTCTCCCGCTTGGCTTGATCTTACCTTTCTTCCCGCGCCCGAGGACTCAGGAACCTGCTCGAATCATCATCGTGGCTGCTTTGCTGGCTACTCTGCTGGCTGCTGAGGAAAGACACAGGATGTGACCGTTAATGCTCAGCTTCTTTCCCAACCCCGGGGGGGAGACTGTCTAGACCTCAACTACACAAAGAAATAAGGTTACAAAATTAAGTAAGGCTGGAAGTTCCTCCATGTGATTTCAGCATGGGGTACAATTTCACACAAGGCTGCGAGAAATGACACAAACCTTGTGCAAGTGCAGCCCATGATACCCAAGAACCATCTGCTGCTATGCAGAGTGGAGGAGGAAAGTCAAGGTCCATTGCCTTTTCTCCCCTGAACCATTTGCACCCCCAAGGGCAAGCGTGCCAGCCCTCTACCTGGCCCTGACCCTCTCAGAAGGGATCACGACCCACTCTCCTCATCCTACTGAGGAACTCGTGCGGAGCTGGGAAGGAGGGGCCAAGCAGGGTGTGGAGAGAGGGAGGACTCCAGAAGGCAAAGACTCAGTGGGGTCAGGACCAGCTGGCTGGCTTCGGCCGGCGGGTAAGACTTAGCAGAGGGAGGGAACAAGAGAAGGAATAAAGGGCGGAACCCTTCTACCCCTTACAGTCCTGCAGGTGAGAGGAAGACCCAGCCTCTGTTTGGGATCAGAGCTCCTTAAAGAGTCCATGTAGGACGGGAATGTGGACTAGGACTGCCTTTCACGTGATCCCAGAGAAAGAAAGCAGGTCAGATACCCGCGACACTGCCTATATAACAGATGAATGAGTCATTCTTAGTAATAATTGTTAATAGTTGTTAATAATTATTAACAACTCCTGGCATCTGACATAGGTCAGAAAACGACAGCCATCCGTCCTCCCCCATCTTCCCACTCCCCCTCTCCAAAGTCTGGAGCCATCTGGTTTTGTACAAGCTCTAGGAGTTAGGATTGTCTTGCTGTTGTATTCTGGTCCTCCTGCTCCCCTTGCCGTAGATCCACAGACCCAGGGCCTGGCTCATGCTTGGCAGGACTCAACCACTGAGCTACATACCCAGCTCTAAGAATAGCTTTGGAAATTGAAAATGGTCAGTAGGAAAATCCAAATAGGAGTAGTTCATGACACATGAAAATGACATGATGCCAGGCGTGGTGGGGCACGCCTGTAATCCCAGCACTCAGGAGGCTGAGGCAGGAGGATTGTTGTGAGTTTGAGACCAGCCTGGGCTACAAAGTGAGCTCAAGGCCAGCCTGAACTGCATAGCGAGACCCTGTCTCAAAAATAATAATAATAATAAAATGACATGAAATTCAAATTTCATTGTCAAGAAATCAAATTTTTTTGGGTGAAGCACAGCTACACTCACTGCCCTGAGTGTTTTCAGGCTACAGAGTCAAGCTCAGTAGCTGAGGCGGAGCTGAGTCAGATGACAAGGCAGAGCCACCTTGCGGCCCTAAAGCTTGCAGCATTCACCAAATGGCCTCTTACAGAAAAAGATAGCTCACAGCTGCTAAAAACAGACTATTAATAATAAAGCCTTATCGTGAAAAATTTTTTAAACATCCACTATTATTTTATGACTACCATATCTTATGCTGGTATTGTAGGAACATAGTCAGGAAAAAGGATAAAATAGGATCTTGTTAAGCTTTATTAAAGAAACTAAAAAGAAACCTTACTAACAGTAGGTTCTGCTTCCGCAGGTAAACTCTGCAGTTAGGGCAATAAGAAAGTCAAAAGAGGGAGAGAAAGACACTGAGAGGGGACCACAATTACCATAATAATTTAACAGTTAGACAATGAGGAAGCCAGGGACATGAAGGACCAGGAAAGCCCGCTCCCCTTGCCTACCTGACAGAGTGCAAGAGAGATAAGAGACAGCCCCCTAAGGACTCATGTAATATGTAAACCACATAAGCGTATGCAGGCACACACACCTACCCGTATACACATGTATGTATGTTCTCACTTTAACATTAGTATTGCACCGGGTACACACATGTCCTCTTTACTTAATTATTAAGTTGCCTCCCTAGAAACCCTCTCCCCTTCGCTTATTCATTAGAAAGGGACAGGAGGAAACCAAAGAGCTAGAAGGAATGTAGACAGACATGCCTCCACTAGAATCAAAGACAGTCAAAAGAACAAGATCAGATATCAACAAGTGTCCACCTGGGGATGGGAAAGACACTGGTCCCCAATAAAAGGAGCCAGGGATGAGAGCTCGTGGCCTTTCAGCTCTGATGCACCCCACCATTCCACAGTAACTGTCTATCCCCTTTCTTTTCCATCTTTTTCCACAGAAACCATCTTTTGTGATACTAAACTTTGCCTTTTTTAGTTCTTTACTAGCACTAGGTTTAGGGCAGCTGGGAGCCGCGTTTTCAGCATAATGGCACGGCATGACATGGCTTGGCAACCTGTCCACCCCGAATGTAACAGTGTATTATTACTATTGTAACAGTAATACCTGATGTAACAGTATATATTATTACTATTACAGACAGCTAAGCTAGGTGGACATATAATAGGCAGTCAGGCAGGGCTGGGCCCTTGAGGGAACCAGTGCAGAAGATGAGAATCCATCAGGACTGTGGCTGGAGCAGCATCTGAAGATTAAAGTCATGATGGCTACTTCTATATACTTCCCTAAGGGATGAGTGGAGACTTGGGATTATTGCACCGCCCTTTTGAGATTTCATATTAACTCACTAGAAACGGGCCATCCTCTCCCACCAAGAGTAAGACTAAAGCCACTAAGATTAAGACTACTAAAACTAACGACAGGATTAAGACTACAGATTACCAACCAAGATTAATGATGCCACCCATGTACCCTTGCCACCATTAGATCAATATTACCTAAGCGACTATACTTACAATTGTTGCAGGCACCTCAGTTACATAGAAATATTGTAGGCAGTCAGATGGGTCTGGGCCTTTGAAGGAGTCAGTAGGGAAGACTAGACACCTTGCAACTGTGGGAGAGACAGGCACTCCCACTGTGGGCCAGACCTCAAGACAAAAGATGCACCCACATACCTCCCTAGGGATGGACATCAGGGATTGATATTCTAAATAGGTATCAATCACCTTGAAAAAGCCACAAAGATTCACGAACCCAACCCCTACAGGAAAGGCCCCTGTTCTGTATTCATGCCTGCTTGCTACATGACTCGCTTCCCCAGTTGACCCCATTTAATCAATTTTACCTGAGCAATTATGCTTGTAATCTTATTGGTTGCTCACAGTTTTGTCCCGCTTCATGCCCACCTTATGAGTTCCCATGTTTCCCACCTTCGACCGGCCTCAATTCACGGTTTTGCTCTATAAAAATCCCTTAAAAAGGCAGGGTCCTTGGCAACCCACTCCTGTCCCCTTCTGTGTCTGTGTCTCTGTCTCTCTCTCTCTCTCTCTCTCTCTCGGATAGAAGCTTTCTTTTCCCCAATAAATATATTCTGATCTTAACCTCCATTGTTCCTAAAATTCATTCTTTGATTTTAGAGAACATGAACTTGTTCCAGATAGCTTTCAGGTTGTGAGTTTCTTTCCCCTATATTACAATCTTATTGATTGATCATAACTTTGACACATCTCATGATTTTGTTCTATAAAACTTTCCTTGAGGGGTGGGCTTGTTGGCAACCTCTTCAAGACCCCTCCTACCTTTCAGGAGCTATTCTTTTTTCTTTTTGTCTTTTTGAGACATGGTCTCGCTATGCAGTTCAGGCTGGCCTTGAGCTCACTCTGTAGCCGAAGATGATCTCGAACTTGCAATGATCCTCCTGCCTCAGCCTCCGGAGTGCTGGGATTACAGGCATGTACCACTACGCCCGGCTCAGGAGCTACTCTTATTCCCCATTTCTTTTCTCCAATAAATTTTCCTACTCAACCTCTGTTGTTCCTTAGAATTCATTCTTCGACTTCGGGAGACATGAACTTCACGTATTGGACATCTAGCGTTTCCCCTATATTATTGCTATAGATATTCAAAGACACACTTGTACATTTTCATTGTTTACCTGACAGTATCAGTATTGTAGATAGCTAAGGTATTTAGAAATATTGTAGGCAGTCAGAGCTGAGCCTCAAAAGGCTGGGGCAGAGGACAGCTAGCTGTGGCTGGAGGCACATTCACTGAAGGCCAGGCTCCAAGAAAAAGAGAACTACTCACCCATATACTTCCCCTTAGGAAGAGCAGCAGTGATTGATATTCTAAATAGACATCAATCACCTTGGGTGGAGGACCAAACCTCCTTAACACCCCCCCACCCCCCACCTACCCCTTTACCTCCGGGAAAGTCTTGTCCTTCCCAAGTGCACTTGCTCTGTGACTTGCTTCCCCATCTGATCCCCATTTAATCAATATTACCCAAGTGACTATACTTACTGTAATCTTATTGGTTGACCAAAGTTTTGTCCCACCTCACACCCCTCCTGTAACTTCCTATTGGACCAATGTTGCCAAAGCAACTATACTTGTAATCTCACTAGTTGACTACAGTTTTGTCCCACCTTGAATCCGCCTCACCTTGTGGCTTTGCTCAATAAAACACCCTTGAGCCAGGCACAGTGATACACACCTGTAATCCCAGCTGGAGATGAGGCAATGATACACACCTGTAATCCCAGCTGGAGATGAGGCAATGATACACACCTGTAACCTCCAGCTGGAGGACTGCTGTGAGTTTGAGACCAGCATGGGCTACATAAGTGAGTTCAAGGCCAGCCTGCATTACACAGCAAGACCCTGTCTCAAAACAAAAACAAAACCCAACAGCAACAACAACAACAAAAAAACACCTTTGAGAAGCAGGCTTTTTGGGTAACTACTCGTAACCTCTATTGTTCCTAGAATTCATTCCTTGAGTTTAGAGAACAGGAAATCAGCATTTCGGACATCTACCAGGTTGGGAGTTTCTTTCCCCTATACCATTAGAATGTGACCTTTTATTTTTGTGGATTTTAAAAAATTTTTTGTATTCTAGTATTGTGGGGGTCCTTGACATATAATTGTGGATGTATATTTTTTCTACATTGATATTTTAATGGCATAATCATAATTTCAACATCTTA